ATCTAAATCACCAGATTACAGTACCTAAAGTTATTGTAAGTCTGTATATCTAAATCACCAGATTATAGTATCTAAAGTTATTGTAAGTCTGTATATCTAAATCACCAGATTATAGTACCTAAAGTTATTGTAAGTCTGTATATCTAAATCACCAGATTACAGTATCTAAAGTTATTGTAAGTCTGTATATCTAAATCACCAGATTACAGTATCTAAAGTTATTGTAAGTCTGTATATCTAAATCACCAGATTACAGTATCTAAAGTTATTGTAAGTCAGTATATCTAAATCACCAGATTACAGTACCTAAAGTTATTGCAAGTCAGTATATCTAAATCACCAGATTACAGTACCTAAAGTTATTGTAAGTCAGTATATCTAAATCACCAGATTACAATACCTAAAGTTATTGTAAGTCTGTATATCTAAATCACCAGATTATAGTACCTAAAGTTATTGTAAGTCTGTATATCTAAATCACCAGATTACAATACCTAAAGTTATTGTAAGTCTGTATATCTAAATCACCAGATTATAGTACCTAAAGTTATTGCAAGTCAGTATATCTAAATCACCAGATTACAGTATCTAAAGTTATTGTAAGTCTGTATATCTAAATCACCAGATTATAGTATCTAAAGTTATTGCAAGTCAGTATATCTAAATCACCTGATTATAGTATTTAAAGTTATTGCAGGTCAGTATATCTAAATCACCAGATTATAGTATCTAAAGTTGTTGCAAGTCAGTATATCTAAATCACCAGATTACAGTACCTAAAGTTGTTGCAAGTCAGTATATCTAAATCACCAGATTACAGTACCTAAAGTTATTGTAAGTCTGTATATCTAAATCACCAGATTATAGTACCTAAAGTTATTGCAGGTCAGTATATCTAAATCACCAGATTACAGTATCTAAAGTTATTGCAAGTCATCTACTTCTAAATCACCAGATTACAGTACCTAAAGTTATTGTAAGTCAGTATATCTAAGTCACCAGATTATAGTATCTAAAGTTATTGCAAGTCAGTATATCTAAATCACCAGATTACAGTACCTAAAGTTGTTGCAGGTCAGTAT